TTTTTTTTTTTTTTTTTTTTTGACACTGGCAGGAATGTTAAATTTATAGTTAAAAGTTATTATAATTTTGAAATTGTATATTATATTGTCATTTTTGTAAGAAAGTGTTCTACTCTCCAAGGTTTTTATTTTGTACTTGTTGAAAGATTTTTTTGGTGAAATATTTAGTTGTCAGTTTGCTCTATGTTTCAGCTAATATGTTTTGCTCGTCTTAAAGTGAGGCTATATTGCCATTTTATACAGTATTTATTCATAAGCAGTCCAACAAATCATTTTACTTATTTGGGAAATTATGGATCATTGGCACATCTGAAAATTGCAAGTTTTTTCTTTTCATTAGGGAACGAGAAAGGGAAAGACAAAAGGAAAAAGAGCAACAAAGATCTGCAGGAACAAAGCGAAATGAAGGTGGAAACAGAGGCAACAGGAATGAAAGGTTGACCAGCATTAAGTTCTTCACTTGAACTTTCTTTATCCCACTATTTTTATTGAAAAAAAAATTACATTGAAGGCATAAGGGAAAACTATTTGTGAAAATATTTGGTGAATCGGATTTTTTAGATGCTTTAAAACATGTATGTAATCGATAATTTTTTTTTTCATTTCAGACCGAACAGTTCCAAGAAAGACTCTGAAAGGAAAGATGCCAAAGACACAAAAAAGGTAATTCAGTAATTAGCAGTGGTCACGCTGAATTGAACTATGTCATGTTAAAATGTTTAACGCCCCATTACCCGACAAAAAATAGTGAAATGTAATATTCATGAAAGGAATTCATCATAAAAAATTACTCCGTGTCACAGTAATTAAATACTGCTTAACTGAAAATCTTGATTTTTCCGATTACAAAGGCCCACAACCTATAAAATAAAATTTTAAAAAACATAATAAAAATATGATCAATAATATTGAAAAATAAAACAAGTCAAAAATGTTCATACCTACCTATAAAGTTGACACAAATTCAAAAGTAAACCTGTATCAATCTAAATTCATTGGAGTGTTTTACTGTTTTTACTGTATTCTTTTCTTATTTTGCAGGATGAAAAACCAACAGAAAAGGAAAAATCTGATGCTACACAACCTGGCCCTAAGGAAGATAAATCAAAGGCAGTTACTCAAACCAAGAAGGAAGAGAAAACTTCAGAAGCTTCAGAGGCCAGAGAGGGTAACAAAGGTGCTACAGAAATGGCTGCCAAGCGTATTGGTGATGAGAATAGTAAAGGAAGCGACAGCTCGGGAAAGGAGGAGGGAGCAGGCGAGAAAAAGGAGAGACGACGTTATAAGGTACGAGGTGCAAGCAGTAGTTCTAGTTTTTGTTTATAATGTTTTTTTTTTTTTTTTAATGAGTTTAAGTGGATTCATGGCAGCAGTGTCTCTAATTTATTTTTAATGTATAGGGGCTTTGTATCTTTTAAATTGAAATAAACTTATTATAAAGTGAATGTATTATTTTTTCCCTATTTATCATTTATATTTTAATTATTTGAAGGATCGCCCAGAGCGTGCCATATATGTCCCTGGTAGACGACGTCAAGAAATTGAGAAGCAGAAGAAGGAACCTGAAGGTCAAGGTCAAGGAGAAAGCTAGCCGAGGATGGTTTCTACTGAAGAACACCGAACTTTAAACTGTTCTGGACTGCCTCGGACTGCACTTCTGACACTAGTCCCTTTGTGCCGACCAAAGATTCCAGTTTTCCCAGAATTTTCACAAGTTACGTTCCAGGTCACACTGCTACTATGTACAAGTTTCAGACAGATGACTAAGTGAATACTTAAACCAGCTACACCTTTGTTAGACTGGCAACTATTGCAGGGTGCTTACAGATATGAAGAAGCAAAATTTCTGAGTATTATGAAAATAAACTTCTCGTTATAAAGATGTCCTTTCTTTTATTTTTTCCTGGTCAATTACTGTTTGGGATTCTCTGTGGATGTTTCACATGAAAGAAATGAAAAAGAAAAAAAGTAGAAATGAATTCACTTTAAATTAATCACATTTTATTCAGAAATAAATGAAAATTTAATGCCTACCTTGTTGTTGACAGTTTAACTTTTAAAGATCATTTAAGACTGAAACAGCAAACTACCAATACAAATTACCAGATGAGTGTAAACAACTTCTTGGATGAAAGGAGGCAGTTAAACTTCACTATCAGGGAAACCGTGCTTAACCAAATGTTAAAAAAAGAACAAAATGAGCCTGATTTTATTATTGCACTAACTGCAAAATAAATAGAACATTTGTCAATTTGTTTTTCACTACGTGATAAAGTCAATCTATTCCTGTTCTGTAGTGTCGTAGTAAGGTATCAGGACAGACGTAAATCCTCTAATTCCTTCCTTAATGTTGTTTCACTGTTCAGCTTTTCCAACTGAAAATATACAATTTTGAAATCTCTTACACTTGCAATAAGTTACAAAAAAAAAGTGATAACACCAGAAAGCAGAAGTCTGACACTCCACTTTTAGACCAGTTAAAATAAAAAACGATTAAATAGGGTAATTACTCGATCTTTTCTATGGGGGAGGGGGGATTCTGAATTTTACAGATTCAGAAATTCTTGATATTAAAACATTCCTACTGAGTGGTAGCAACAAGAATGAAAAACAGGCCACCTTGTATTTTTATTCTTTTACAGCAAAAGCACCAAATATGCTACACAAAAGTACATTTTTTACCAATTCCAAAATTATGTATCTAAAAGACTCATAATTTTCCCCATTGAAAAAATCCGAGTTATTACCATAGCCACAAGTACTTTACAGAATGGCTATACATGTATTCCTCAGGTGTGACTGTTGTTTATTGCTATGTTAAAAATGTGTTACCTGGTTCTTTTCTAGCTGTTTCCCTGCTTTCTGGTCTTCCTTGAGCTTCTCAATTTGTTGTAGTTTCTGAAATGGAAAGTACATAGTTTACTTTAATTGTAACTTTCAATTGTATTAGTTTACCTCANGAATTGAATCTGAGGAAAGGTGAAAAAACAGCATAACTTCTAAAATAATGGCCCCATTATGCTGATTTTTTAACTCAACCTGCGTTTTAGCAGGATTGATCACTCCTGTGGGTTTAATGACAATTGGCCTGTCTGTTTTTCTTATATTGTGTTTACAGTGTTGCATATATGCTGAAAAGTGAAAAAAACAGCATAATTTCTACAATAATGGCCCGATCATGCTGATTTTCGAACTTGACCTGCGTTTTATGAATATTCATCAGCTCTGTAAATATAAAGCCAAAAAGTAAAACTGCCTTCCACTTATCGTGTTTACAAGGAAAGTGCACGGCGCCGGCGACGGCAACGACGGCGACGGCGACGACAGACACAGGTGATGGCAATATGTACAGACACATCTGTGTCTGTACATAAAAATACTTCTATGTATTAAAAAATCCCCTAAAATTTGTTTTATCTCGTCTGTTAATTCTGAATTTCAAATCAAAAGTTTGTATTTTCTTTGTATCAAGGAAAATTAAATTTACCTATTATTTCACCTGATACACGTAATTATTTTTTCTACATAACAGACTGCATTTTCTTTTTATGAAATTAAACTGCCCAAACTTGAACTGTATTTTATCTGATAATTGGAAACTTCAGTATAATTTTTTTTTTCATTTTCTTTGTATCATAGAAAATGACATTTTATTGATCTGTTCTTTTATCTGTGGGAAACTTCGGATATGGACTTATCGAATGCTGGAATCAAAATGTCAATATTTTTTTACACGATGAAGCCGAGGGACTGCTTTTATAAAATCCAAACTACCTTTGTGAGGTTTTTAATCTTTTTATCTTTCTCTGGATCTCCTGTGGACACAGCAGCAGGAGCTGGTGCCGTGGAAGGCCTGGAGGGGGCAGCACCTGCACTTCCCTGGAGAATAATGAAGTATGCGTGGAATGAATGGCATGAAAAATGTGAAAATTCTCCCCTCTCTCTCTCTCTCTCACACACACACACACACACACACAAACACACACAAACGCAGTGTCTGTGTCATGTTTACTTACAACAGATATAAAAATGACGAACAACATTAAAAAATGAAGCAGTGCTTTCATCTGGGGAGATGTACAAACATTAAATGTAATATCAGAATATTACCTGTTCTTCTTTTGCTTTTGCTTTGGCTTCCCTTTTTTTCTTATTCTTTAATGCAGCCTTTGACATGTTTTCTGAAATATGTACGGACATTGCATTATGGTGACTGATAAACATTAAAACCCACGTTTACTGACAGACCAGACTAAAAGAAAAATTACACTACAGACATGAGCCTAGCTTTAAAAAAAAAAAAAAAAAAAAAACTTTGAACATTTATCATGGGATCCAACATCAAACCTTGACAAATCACAGGAACCATCAGAATTGAATTTTAAAAAAGCAGAATTCCGCTTTTCTGTGGAAAAAGCTCATGTTTGTACTTACCAGGTCAGACACAATTAACAGGCATGAAGTGGATTTTGCTAATAAAGAACCTGGATCAGGTGTATGAAAACCTGTTTACCTGGGTTAGCCTGTTGTTTAGCGTTGGACGGCAGTTCATCCTCTTCGTGGACCTTAAAACTGACAGCCTGTCCTCTGGCACCAGGGGGGCGGTACGCAGCCGCTTTAGCTATAATTATGATATATATACAGGCATGTCTATTTTTCAAACAAGTAATGAGTCTTACTGAAATATAGTAAAATTTATCCCTAAGGCCATAACATTTAATGTGTGAACTAAACATAACATAATCAGACACCCTGTTGATGAAGTGGCCAATAAGTTAAAATGACCCTACTTCACAGGAAATGCAGTCGTCACAACAAGACACATGTATTCATCAGAACAACCAAACTTGTGTGGGTATGCATCCATAAAAAAAGTCAAAGCTATTCTTCTTCAAAACAAAACAAAACACAACAAAATAACTAAACAAAACAGACTTACTTGCTGGCTGCACCACAGTAGATTCCACAGCCCTGTATGTGACGGGTTGTTCTTTGTATAGCCCTTGAGGTGCTGACTGCCATTTTGCCTCCCACAGTTCCGAATCCTTGGGGACACTGTAGTGGTGAAGTAATGTTCCCGTGTAGTGCCACACCTTGTATCTAAGAAATAAAATAGTACAGGTGCTCAGTTACAACTGTTATTATCTTTCAGCAATAATTGTTCCTTCTTCTTAGTTAAGTATTTAATCTAAGACTCATGGTTTTAGATATTATTTGTTTTTAGTAAGTAAATTTGCAAACAGCACCATTTCAAGAAATAATAATAATCATGATTATGCACATTGTATGAGATTAAGCATTTGCATGGAACCAATCCAATACTTATTTTAATTGTGGAACCAATCTTATAAATGCTTTAGTGGAACTAATCCACTACCCACCCATTGCCCACCCTAAGTCTCGGGGCAGTGGTGGCTGTGAGAAAATGGACGCCATCTGGACACCACTCAAACATGGTAGAGTCAGAGGCCTCCGTCTGCTTTATTTGTTTTTTCTGCTTCGTGTCCCAGAATTCTAGGTTACCACGGAGATTACCAAAGCCAGCCAGACAAACGACTGAGAGAAAGAGTCAAGTTTTTGTTTTGTTTTGTTTTTTAACTAAGAAAATGACTTAAGTTTGTCGATTTTCAAAGTAATATTGCACATTGATTCTATCAAATTGCAGGACTAGCTGCAATAACTGAGTAATAAAAATAAATGAGAGCTACTGCAAATACACACAACTTTGATTTTCATAAGCATTTCTCTGTGAGATATCAAACCATTACAAAGAACGAGATAAGAACTGAAAAAGGCCCCGATTTCTTCTTTTAGAATCACTTATTTTAAAAAATCCACTGGCAGATATTTTCATCTAAGTGGTTGACAAAGGATACTGTTTCCATGTGCATTGTAAGCCACCGTATTCCTGGGACCTGTCCCGAAGTCAAAGACAGGCTCACACTTCAGATTGTACAGGGTGGCCTTGGCAGGCATATCTGGACATTGGTCAAGGAGTTAACCAAACTGAAGAATGGTTTTGAAAATAATTGTATATTTCCAATATGACATAAAAGGGACACAGAGAGGATCCTTCCTGTGTGTGCATGTTTTTCTCTTTTGTGTGTGTGTGTGTGCATGCATGCATACATGATTGCTCATGTTTGTGTGTGTTATCATGTGCCTGTGTGTGTGTGTGTGTGTGTGTGTGTGTGTGTGTGTATGTGTGTGTGTAAAACAGACCAGAAGCCAAAGATACAACCATACACTGCACAAAACTCCTGTGAATTTGGATTCCACTGCAAACTGTAAACAGGGCCATTTTTGCCTGAAAATAGAGAATCTCCATTTATTCATGTCATTCAAAAATGTATTTCTCCAAGCAACTTTATATTATACCCGAAAATATGATTAAAATTCTCTGAAAAAGTTGCAGTCTAAAATAAGCTTAAAGTTTCTGAAAAAAAAATATATATATAATTATATATATATATAATTTCAGTATGTTTGCCATGTTTGATATATTTAGTTTGAAAGGAGTTGCTACCAAAGCACAAATGGTCAAATCCAATGTATGTACTCACCTAAAGGAACCATACTACTGGTGCCTTTGACATCTATATAATGAAGACTATTGTCTCCGTAGTAGGAGCCAGCTGAGGTCTCTGTGGCTGTCAGGATTAGGAGTGAGGTGCCTAAAATATCAAAATTACAACTTCTAATCACTTTCTAGTATCAAATTAATAAGAAAATTAAGTATGAGATAGTAACTGTCACCCGAGCAATATTTTACATGTATAGGGAGAGAAGGTACTCACTTTTCACCAAAAAACACCCCTTAACTGAATAAAGCGTATATTGCTATGGTCATATAACATCTTTAGATATGTATTACAGTCTTACACAGGGGCAGATTGAGACCGTCTTCTGGGTCTTCGGGAAGACCGTCAGATTTTCAAGTGTACATTGACAGGTATCTAATTTTTTCTGTTGGAAGACAGTCAAAAATGGTGTACAGATCAACAAAAATACTGGTAATTTGGTAATTTGTCAAAAAATAGCCCTGGATCTGCTCCTGTCTATCCCAGACCACAGCATCTGTCACATTAGTATCATTACATCAAAATATCAATAAACACACTGATAATAATAATTAGAAAAAGAATCATGATCATAATAATAAAATATTAAATATATTACTCCCACCTTTTTTATTCCAGTACATTTCTGCCTTGTCGCACTTGAAGACACTTTTGTTGGCGAGGACAGCGTTGGGACCAGAAAACTCTGGGTACCTGTACACTCTCACAAAGGCTGGCTGACCCTGAATCACATTGTTATTATTATTTCTTTAGTTTTATTAATAATTATAACAAATAATGAATTATTGAAATCAAGAAATAAGTCGATTTTTTAAAATGTAATTTTGTAATTTCTGCATTTTCTTCCGCATTCTATTTCAGAAATTAAATACTTGTTTTATGCATTTATGTTTTTGGTTATTAATTCATCTATTTGTTTGTTCATTTATTTTTAAATCATTTTTTTTTTTTTTTTGAAAAAGCAAACCTGTTAATCTTTATTTTAATGAAAAACTGAAGATGAAAAAAAAATCAAAATTTCAACTAGACAACTGAACTATTCTAACTTGCTCCATCATCTTCCTACAGAAATCAACATTAATCTAAATTTTCAAAAAAGTGATATAAAGCAGTTATGCAAATACTACACAAAACGTGGCCCTCACTGACTCGGAGAGTTACATTTTCGTAGAATAGTCCACAAGAAAGTTTACCTTACTACCAGGCACATATGCTGCCAAATGGTAGGGTGCTGGGCCACTGGCTAGCTGAAACTCCGCCAGGTTCTGGAGATGTAGCTTGTTTGTGATGGAATCTGCAAAGCAGAGTAGAATGTACAGTATATCTAATGCATCATTCATCTTAGTTTATGCTTAAGAAATATTTTTGCCTTAGCCTTTCAACAAAATTTTGATAAATGTTGGCTAAATGATAAAGTGTTTTTGCCAAAATAAATAATAAAATTGAAAATGAAAAAGTGATTGACATTATACAATTTTTTTCATAGTGAAACGATTTTGAAAAATTCCATTTGGAGTTTGTCAGTAAGGTTGCAAAAATTCCAATTTCATGATGTCAATTTCAGGTGTCATGTTTCACCTTAAATGCTTAATTCATAATGTTATAATGAACAGTTCACAATTATGTCCTTCACTTACCAAAATTATTGTTTTCAAAGCACTGTACTTCATTTGTGACATTTCTTGTGCAGATTTTTTCATCATCAGACCACTGTGGTTGCCTGAATAGGAAATAACATGGTTCAAATCAATCGAATATCTAAATTATACCGATCCCCTTAATGAATACAATTAACTCAATACGAATAATTTAATCTTACACAAAAACACAAACTTTTAATCAGCTTCTTCAGACAGTTGCAACAAAACAGCAAAAAAATGAAATAAATTGAAAAATTGATCCAATTAAACACAGAGTTCCAACTCCAACCCAGAACAAATCTGATGAAGTGCACTAAAGTGAAGTAACTAAAACCTACTTTTTGTTAGTTCACCCAGCAATTTTTTTGGTTTGACTCAGCAGACAAAAATAATTTGAACAACATTCCTATCAAATTAACTGTGTGGAGTGTATGTTATTGTATCTAAGAAAACACATATAAAAAATAAAAATATTCCCTGTCACAAATGAGATACTTTAGAAAACCATTAACCATAGTATAGTAGCCCAGTCTCAAGCATATGAACAAGACCTTTCAATGAGAGTTAGAAGTCTTTTCACTGACGGTTTTCTTTATAAACAATTTATTTTTTTTGCCATCTCCATCGAAGACACACTGAAAAACTTATTTCCCATGTTATACAGTGTTATACAGTGTGATCTTACCATCCCCCATGTTTCTTCTGATTTAAAGACCTCAACAGGTTTCCAGATTTCACATCCCAAATATTCAAGTTGGAGCTCATTCCAGGGTCATTCTTGTTCACTGAAAGCAATTATTTCCTCATTAGCATCATAATTACATTACCATAATGATTAAGTGGTCATTTTTACTTTTTTGTATACATCTGGGGTCGTAATTTTGTATTTTATCAGTATCTTCATCATTATCATCATCACCATTAATTCTACAAACCAACCTATCATTGTTTATTTATTCATTTCACTCATTCACTCACTCACTCACTTATCACTCATTAACTTGTTCACTCTCCAAGGGTCAAATATGGGGAGCCACTACAAAGTTTGCTGTGTAATCCGCTGATAGACACTGAATAGATATTCAATTGGGAAGTAGTCAAGTGGGTCTGTCATATTTGACCCTCGGACTAGTTAGTTCCCTATTCTGAATGAGGCCTAACTCACTCACTCACTCACTGGACTCATTTGCTCACTCACTCACTGGACTCATTCACTCACTCACTGGACTCACTCACTCACTCACTCACTCACTCACTAGACTCATTCACTCACTGGACTCATTCACTCACTCACTCACTGGACTCACTCACTCTTCATTGGTTTATTTTACCTGCGTATGGCTCCCAAGTAGCCAGCAGACTGCCAGAGGGGGAAAACTCCAGTCCCATGGTTTTAGGTTTATCTAACTTCTGAACTTGCTTGAAGTCTGTAGTTGTCACTATTTCTACACTAAAATAGAAAAGAAATGTTTATACAATGCAGTGTATGTATTCAATCCCATGTACTATGTATTCACTTCACAAATTTCAATATTTCACTTTGAATTTTTCAAGATCTATTATTTTTAGATCAAGTCAATCACAAACAATATGTTCGAGTAAATAAAACAAAATTAAAGACAGGTTTTGGCATTAACCCAACTTATTATGAACACCTGTCAGATTTTACAAGTAGAAATAAAACTGTAAAATACTGAACTTGTAAACACAATGGACCTGAGGCTTGTTATAATTATGTAAGCATACCACTGATTTACAATCTTTGGTGAGTTTCCAATCATCAGAAGCAGCATTTCTGACTACCTACACTTACCTTTCTCCATTGCACCATGCAAAAAGAGAACCATCAGGGCTAAAAGCCATTACTTTACATGCCTTTCCTTCACATCTGTAAATACATAAATATTAAATAAAGGTCACATTTTCTATTATCCCAAGCAATAACTAAATTACCATTCGAAATTAATATACATGGATGAGGAGGTGGAAAACAAACAAGCATCTTTTTTTTTTTTTTTTTGCAGATGCCCATACAATACCAAAGATAAAGCACGTCTCTCAATATAAGGTGCACAGAACAAGGGATGAGAATGTACATGTATTTACAGTAGGATAATATTAAGTTCATATTTCACTCATAATACTGCCATGTTTTAAACAAGTGTAAATTGTGCACTTACCTTTTGAATGTTGCTTTGGTACTGTACGAAGGTGGACCTTCTACAAGACAAGTGCCCTCAGTGCCCCTGACTTCAAGTTAAAATATGAAAACACATATCATACAAGTAACTCGTGTTCAGAGCACAATACACACAGCGTAAAAAAAGAGTGTATTCAATAATGATTCTTTTCTTTGCAAACATGCCATTATTATCAATCAACTGCCCCATTTACTTAGACCAGCCTTCAACTTTGATACACAGCAATATGGTCCTAGGGTTTGGGGTTAAGGTTTGTGTGTGCATGTGTGTGTGTGTGTGTTGGGGGGGGGGGGACCACCCTGTGTTACAAACTCTTGAGACTATGCATGTAAATAATATCCACAACTGACAGACACTGTGTCCTCTGTTGCATCTTGTAGTATATATAATTTGCAAATTAAACCCTGTTGCATCGGTTTACTCACCCAATCGATAAAGTTTAAGTTATTTTTTTACAGTAATGCAGCAGTGTTATCCCTTACAATAGTCAGTGACATTACGTCTGGTCTCAAGCATCTGTAACACAGGATGTTATGGGGTCTGCGTTGCGTGTAAGGCCACAAACTGTGGTAAAGGGTGGGGTGGGGGTGAGAGTAGAGGTGGGGGTGGGAGTCTGTGCTATTGAAAGACCTAACTCTGCAAGCTCAGTGTATGTATATTCGGGGGGGGGAGGGGGGGGGGGTATTCAAAGGCGGTGGTTCTTGTGACAGTGTAAGGTTTTCTTCATCTAGATAAGTTTCGAGTAAAATGAATCTCTGGAATTTGGCAGCTCTACAAAACGTATGGGACAATCCAACAGCTATTAATTTAATCATTACAAAAGTGAAAAAAATTGAAAATCACCAATCTTGACCATGACAAAGAAACTTAATGGGGCAGACTGTTCCACTTTTTGACACAAATGTTTTGAACATCCAATGCATTAAAATATCAAACATACGACAGGTCAAGTAATAACCCAACTCACGCGCAAAAGTCGGTATGGGCGCAGCCATGTTTGCGGCAAGTAAATCTCGCAGAATTACGTTTCCGGCGTAACACGTCACCAATTTTGAAATATCAATGCGCCACCATCAAACTTAAAATTGAATGAATCAAACTCCTTCCACAAGCCTTAACATGTATATTATCAGTTACAGAATACACACATATGACTATTCATCAATCCAATTCATACCAAAACACCTTAAGTAAAAAGATTGAGTTGCCTAATTTGTAATTTATTTTTCTGCGTAATCGACGGTAAGGCGGTCTTACGAGATTAGGAAGATAGCTTACTACGTGGGCATTTAAAACCTCCAGCAGTTTTCAACAAGATTCAGAACGTTTTGGTGTTCCGTCGAGTTACTAAACAACAACTCTAAACATGCCAGCCAAACAGAGGATGAGACTTGCCAATGACAAGGCCAGCAAAAACGTCACACAGAGAGGAAACGTGCCAAAATCTTTAGTAAGTTTTTACAAACGCAGTTCCCTTAGGCTTCTGCAACTTCTGGTTTTACACAAGCGTCATCTAACATATGTCTTAAAGTTACCCCATTCGATTGGGCTTTTCGTTTGAATGAAGGTGTTAGTTTGTGTTGTGTTCATTACCCTGAACAAGAACGATAAATTGAAGTGTTGTTCACAAATTTGTAAACTAGTAGATGATTGATAGGCGACGTGTAACATCTAACTGAGGTCAGTGAAAAGTTTGGGATAAAGTTTGGTATGATCACAGAATGATACTCTCGTAAAAAGAAATAAGCCAGCTTTACATTCTGCCCCTCTCCTTTATGAATCTGTTTACTCCTAATATGATCTCATTTCCCTGGGTAGAATTTAACCCAAGCAGCTGCATGTGTGTTACTTAGAATTATCAGGCATAACCAGAAGTCCATATCAATCATCTACCATGACCAGTTCTAGAATATTGTTTTGCTCACCATTTTATGCTTGTTGTAGTTTTTCTTTCTTGTCAATCCATGAAAATAAATCTTAGTGAAATGGTTCTTCCAATAACACCTGAGACCATAAGAATGGCTTTAACTAAACTGAGCCTTTTTGCCTTAAGATCCCTTAGTATTGAAAAATTAATTAAAATGCTCCTGTTTAGTCAGTTGTGGTATTAAAAGATTATTATGTAATATTAAAGTGCCAACTGAGAATTGTTTGATGGCAAGAGTAAATTGGACTGTGAAATACTCATGGGATTTTCCATCCATGATGATGAGAGTTTGTATATTGGATATTCTTACAGCTATTTTTCTCTGTTTAATCTTTCAGAAACCCGAGGAGGATAAATACCCAGTTGGACCATGGCTAATAGCTTTGTTTGTGTTTGTTGTATGTGGCTCAGGTAAGTTGTTGTCATGTTCTTTATTTTTGATTCATTTATTTATATTCAGTGTGGTAACTCACACCTATGGTTGCCGAGTTCTATGATAGAAAAATTTTTCTCAGTTGGCTTTACTGGTGCAATAGAAACATGCAGATACACATTTACAATTGTTCTTCTCACTTGCTAATACTCATGCTAGATGAACATGCATGTGTGTAGGTGTAATACATATACAATAGTTCACATTTGCTATGCTCAAGCAACATGTACATACATATACAAGCAGCATGTTCATGAAGCAAAGTTATCACTTAGTTTGGATAAAAAGAGATTTTAACAGTAGAGAAAATTTTCACCTGGGCAGATTTGTTACTTTGAAGATAAAAGACTGTTTGTGAGTGATGTAATGGACTGCTACTGATATGCCTAATTTGAATACCAAATTACCACTAATTGCTGGCATTACTTTATCAGGAATAATGCTGTCTTTTTATCTTTTGTCCACATAGACAAGAACTTAATAGCACATTGTCATAGTAATTCATGTGTTGCAGATAAGTGGATATGAGGTCCCTTGCATTTTCATCTTCTGATATGAATTCTATCAGTCTGCCAAATAGCTCAGAATATTACCTGTTGAATAATGGCTTTGGTTTAAAAGTTGGTTTAAACTTTTGGACTACAATTTTGCTTGCTCAGACCTAAGGGAAATCAATGGCAGTCTCTGTGAATGAAATTTTGTGCTTATTTTACAGCACTAAAGACTCCAGTTGTGTTTCAAAGCAATACTAATTTTATTTTTCAAGTGGATTGCTTAGGGTTTAGATTGTCTTGTACTAAATAGAGGTCAACATTTATGATCAAAAAGTTCAATTCTATGTTAGGCTTAATTTATTTTGTGAAAAAGCAAACTTAAAGGTCATTTAGCATTATGGTATTTAAAAAAGAGAGATGAATTTTGGAGCCTTCTTTTAAGATGTACTTTGTCAGAAGTTTATTTGTAAAAGTAGACATTAAATGAATTCATTATTCACAATTTTCAGTCAATAATTGATACACTGTATAGAAAAAAATTAGTGAACAGAAATTTATTTTTCAGTTTTTGAAAAAAATTGTTTTTATAAATTAAAAAGACTATTGTGAGAAATGATTTTAAAACGTCATTATTTTTCTCTCCTCAGCTGTGTTCCAGATCATTCAAAGCATTAGGTTTGGATAAGACCTCGGACTCGAAGACCCTCAACAGCCTCCGTTACACCATGGATTGCAAGGACTATGAGTACAAGAATACGACTCTATCACCAGACATTGACATCATTTAATCATTTGTGAGACAGAACGTTTTATTACCAAAAGTTTCACGAGAAGAACTTGTATATATAGATATTTATAAATGTAAGAACGAAACCCGCTGCTACTTCTGCAGGGAGTTGTTAAATGCAATAGCTAATAGACTGGCCATCGTGACATTTCTTCAAAACTACTGGATATTGAAACAGGCTGCCAGCTATTTTTAGTGATATGCAACATAATTACTCACCTGATTTGCATACTTGACTACCTAATTTGCATCATATTTGAAAACTGGAAAGACGATTTTAAAGGCCTGTTGCATTAGTTGTGAGGAGGTGGTATTTACAGCAGAACACCTAACGCATCCAATGATAGGTGCACTGCTATCACCTTTTCTTTTCATTTTCCCAAATATGGCAGTTGATTCGTCTTACTGATATTTAATGAAATAGTAGGGTTAAAAATTCTAAGTTGGCGTAAAGTTGATATTTTGTCTTTGACATTTTAGTGAATTTTAATAATTGTATCTTGCATGTGAGGACTTCAACCAAGTAGATCTTTAGAAGACTAGTAAGAAACGATCCACAAGTGGTCGGGAAAATAATATTTTGCCTTAATTTTCAGTAATAAGGTTCTCAATGTACCTATTATGTTTTACGAATGTTGAGGAAAGGAATGCAATTTGTCACAAACTGCCAAAATATGTAAGTTAATGTATTGTCTGTTACTGTGAAGATGATGATTCCGACAAAGTCTGGTGGGTAATGGGCGAATTCCAATAAAGTGACTATTTTTATTTACTCGTAGAGTTATCATTTCATATTAATTTATTTAAAATAATTGACCTATCACAAGTACGAAGATAGACCACTTCACTATTAGTTAATTGTTATGTCCGGGAGGTACCAGTTTTTAAAAGCGCAGTTGCGAAATATTACAAATGTGAAATAAAAACTGATGTCGAGAACAAAAGAATCGAACGTATATATAACATACGCGTAAGACAGTCTTGAAAGGTCGACCATAAGACTTGGAAACGATGCCCTCTGATGTAAGGGCCCACTATAATACAAAGTCACACTGTAGCAACCTATCGCTTTTCAACATTTTTGTATCGAACTACGCTCTGATACATTCACATGATGCTGATGTTGTATGTATTATTCATCCATTAACAAGAAAAAGGCATTGACATAAATATGGACAAATTTATTCTATTTCCTCGGAATGTACATCTGTCTAAAACAATTGACGGGCGACACCAGTCCACCCTGAGCTTCAGATATAACATGACACTAAAATCTTTTCTATAGCCTATCTTCAACGTGTGATAGGCTATAGTGAAGAGGTTAGTATCAAGTTATCTTTGAAGCTCAGGGTGCAACAGTCATGTTGAATATGAAACACTTTTTAAAATCTTGGTCACTGAAAATGATTTTGAATTCAGAAAAACCACGTATCAATTACTGTGTTTTTTATGCCTGCGGATTCGTTTTTTTACTACGCCATTAAAAAGGCCACACATCTCTGCATTCGGTTTTTTGTGAACTGCCAGCAAATTTCGCACACGACGAGTGAAACTGAATATATGACGTCCTGGTTCATTCACAAAGCCTGAATTATGTTCAAGTCTTATGTGATTTTCATGAGCCAGGACAGATAAAAAGACGTCTTCCATGTAAAGGTATTTCCATAACGACGCTTCGTTAAGACGCTTGATGACGTCATAGGATAGTATTGATGCGAATCCAGCCACATAAGGTGGGTATTTGCTGTCACTGAACTGCTCTCGGGTCTGGAAGTATTTATCGCGTGGATTGCGACGCACAAGGGCATCAATGACTTTAAAACCAACAAAAAGGTTTTCAGACTTGGTTGGAAAACGTGTCAGGTATCGTATGACGCCTCTATAGTTTACGGTGACGTCATGTCCACATTTTAGGACAAAACGCGTCCTAGGACAGTACTCTTCTACCCAACGAAGGGCGAGAATAGATTTCAATGTATAATTCTTGTACGAGTCAACAAAATCCACTTTAATTAGATCTCCAAACTGCTCGCTTTCTTTTACGATTTTTTCCTCTACATGTGTCAGTTTTGAGTTTCCTACAAAAAAGACGGTTCTAACTGATTGCCCCATGTATTCCGAAACATTACCACACGTTTTTCTAAACGTCAGTCTGGACAGGAAATCTTGAGGAGCAGAAATAACTAAGACAAGAAGAAACGGTCCCTCCTCCAACATACAAGGGGCACCAAAAATGTACGGATACTTTTTGATATGATACCACAGGTATGGTTTCTTCTGTAGCTTTCCCTCGCATACTGACGCTGGAACTAAACATTCAGTTTTCTTCTTGGATTTGTAATTTTTGACTATGTCCCCCTTGTTCATGGAAGTTATGAATAAAATCAACGAAGTTGCTTGAATTGTGAAGAAAGCAAACATCAGTCTCTCTCGTTTCATAATTCTCCACTTGGTTCACCTTGCAGGCAAAACCTGTGGTTTTATATTGTCATTGACAAAGCATTAAAAAAGCTAAGTGCAAATGTCAAGGCGCATAGCTGGAAGGTACGTCTATATGCATAACGGAAAACTATCTGGTGTATTTCATAGTCAAATTCAGGTTGGCAAATAATATGAATACCACCACCAGGTATGTGTTATATACACTCTAGGCCAAAAAGATGTCCACACGTCCAATTTAATGAGTTTCTGTAGTTGTTTTAAAATACCGCATCAGAACTGTCAACAGTTTTTAATCGTGCTTTTTTAAAAATTAATCAAAAAGGTAAACATATAAAATAAATAAATGTAACAATCAGCAATGAAACTAAATAAATAACATGATATAAGGTGCAGAAAAGCAAGATATTGGCTTTCTCACATTTCAATCTGGTGTGTACTACAGTGATTTCCACTGGCTAAAATGTCTATAAAAGTGAAAAGACACCTCCAAATGTCACCAAATTAATAAATAGCATAAGTTTGTGCTATGATGCAGTTTTATGGATGAAGATATTGGATGGAGTGTTATTGTGTTAGAGGAGACAGAGCACTGTGGTGTTGTGCTGTCCCTCTTGGAGATTTCTCGTGTAAAAATAAATAAATAAATAAATAGATAAATAAATAAATAAATAAAAATAACAACAACAAGAAGAAGAGGAAGAAAAGAGGTGTCCTACACGCTAGGAGTCGTCTCGTAATCAGCAGGATACTCCGTAATTGAGCAAAACTGTTCATTAGTTCACTAGAGAGCTGGAGAAAAAACAATTCGATTGCTTGCCTGGATTCATTTATCACACGTGAGAGTGATGGACATCTAAGCTTGAAAGTCTACAGGAAGGCCATACATACCAGTGGCAGATTTGGGGGGGGGGGGGGGGGGGGGGGGGGCAGGGGGGTTTTGGCCCCCCTCTTGGGTTTTGGAAAATAT